AGCAGATTTAATGTAAAAACAATCAGCATGCTCGGTGGACGCATACATGAATCATCGAAGTGGGGTCGCGCCGGCAAACCCCAATTTTACGTAGTGGGTGCAGTAGTGAGAGTACTAGTCTTCAATCTCTAACACCTTTCTCCACGTCCTTATCGCCTTTTCACTCAATAGCTGACTGATTGACTCGACAAACGCTTCTCTAAACAGAATTATCGATACTTAAACAGCTGGGTTGATTTCCGTCACCTCATTCACACAGATCCTGCCCCGTCTGGGCTATCGTAAGCGCATCCATCTAATGAATCCAATGGTGCCTGGTCTCACAGGAGACAAGATGTCTGCCTCTGAGGCCGCCTCCAAGATTGACCTTCTCGAGAGCAGTTCTAGTGTTCAAGCCAAACTTGCTACTGCTGCATGCCCTCCTGGCCAACGCGCTGCTGAGGGCAACGGTGTCCTTGCCTTCATTAAGTTTGTCGTCTTCCCGCTTGTTAATCTGGCCGCACCTGGTTCTGGTGAGTTGACTGCTATACCCAACCATCCACTTCAGTGCTCCGATAGATTTTGGTAGTAAACGTGTGAATGTATTTATTTCCCTCGTTTTTACAGGTGTGAAGGTGGGAGACATGAGCTTTGCTACTTTTAATGATCTGGAAGCCGCCTACGTAGCAGGCGTGGCAGAAGTGTCTCCCGAGGCTCTGAGGGCGTGCATCTTTGAACATCTGGATCCACGCATAGAGGTGGTACGTCAACGATTCACGGAACCGCGGCTCCTTAAGCTTTTGAGCGATGCATATCCCGCTGATGATGCCCACTGTGTCGAGAAACACGCAGCAGGTGAAGTGGTCTCTACTTTTCCTTAGTAAATCGCTCGATTCATTGGCCCTTTTCTTCGTATGTTTTGGAGTATAGACCGACTTGGCATCATGTTCTGTTTCATCTGCTTGCTACTACTACCGTTCATTGGAAATTTGGGTAACGATCCCTTGGCTTTGATGATCTGCGCCATTTTCAGCGGCGTTCAGTGTGGCATTAGAACACGGAGTACTGATTTGGTAAAAGTATTAATTATGCCAAGAGCTGATAATTAGGTTCAGATCTCTCAGTGATCGTTAGTATGAATGCTGCGGCACGGTCAATTTAGTCATCGCGTATTCGTCGAATCGAAGCACCCTTATTCACCTTCCTTTCTTTAGAATCTGGCAGCGCTTCACTCACTGCCGTGTTCAGCGATGACGGTCTAACCGATCTAAAGAATCGTCTTTCCTCAATTGAATCTCAACTGCCTTCACTGGAGCCATCCTCTTTAAAGTCCATTGCAGACCTCTTGTTGCTCAACCTTGAGTCTCTGCAGCCCTTAACGTCTCGCCGAGTGCTCCGTTGTATGTGGTCCATTGCTCCTTCTGGGGTGCCACATTTGGGTCATACGTTACCACTGCGACTACTAGCTCGACTTTCGTGCATTTCGGGAGTTCATGTAAATGTCTGATGTCTACTTATGACTCATCACCAATGGCTCCTACTTTCCTGCCTGAACCCAGGCCAGAGGTGTCGTGAATTTTTTTGACTTCGAGAAATTGGAACTTTTGTAATTCCTTGATGAAAATTTTATTTTTACGGTAAAACTAATTAGACCTCATTGGATACAGCCGCAAACTCAAATGCTTTGGATGCATGAAAATTTCGCTTTACCGATGGCCAAGATATTAAAAAAAACGAGCGATTTCTGCCATCTTTC